CATAACATTATTAATTATACTTGCAATTTAGTATGACAGAAAAAAAGAGTAAGTGAAGCATTTAATTTCTATAAAGTTATCACATATATATGTATTAGAGAATGGGAGAACAAGTCTTCCACAGAAGGAGTAGAATGTGCTAGTGTGATTTGTAAATACAGTAATTAGAGAAGATAATTTTAGTGTATAAAAAGCCTGAAAAGTGCACCTTACTGTGTACAGTTAAAATATTACTTCAGCACTGCATTTTGTGATTAATCTCTCATTGCTTGAATAAAGAGCTTAATGTGTGGAAAAACATTCTAAAGAAAATCTAATATTATTTAGAACCACATTATACTATCTTAGACTCAGAACATTTGTGACTGTTTAGATGTAATTCACAGGTAGTAAACTAATTGTTGATTGCCACTAAAACAGTATTTTACCAACTCATACAACTGAAATACATCCATAGAAAACTACTTAAGTATTTCCTCTTTGGTCTTTATTAGTAATAATTTGACATTTCTACTTTATAGCAGTCCCACAGTGTTCCTCGGATTTGTTTCAAGCTAAGTTATTACCCTTGACCATAGCAGGCATAGCATCTAGCTGATAATCCCTTCCAGCTTCCCTCAGCAATAGCTCTACTTTATCTTTTCATTTATCACTTTCTTCTCTCTAGTATTATACTGATTTTTATTTCAATTTTCGCCTTTCACTGGACAACTGAATTAGTAAAATTACTGATTGTGAAATCACAACTAGAGTCAATTCACAGCTTTCCTTCAGTTTGCTTTAGTGAAAGAATAAAAATTAAATGACTTTGTGATACAAAGCTCCTTTTCAGTATGTCCCCTCCAAAAGGGGAAGTGAATGTATGAATAGCTTTAAAATAAACATACTTGTGAAAACAGTGATTTCTAGCTGTAAGTAACAGGAATTTGCTTCTGCTACCCCACCTTAAGGTAGCAAGGAAGATTTATCCATGTTCTTAGACTTATTATTGTGATCCTCTAGAATTTCACTTTTCCAATATATCTTAGTTTGAGCCAGAACTGAGTGATTCTTAAGTCTTATTTTCACTTGTTCTTAAAAGAGGAATGTGGTGTTTTAGACAGTAGATGTTACTTTATTCACAAAATGTCCTTAGAGGTGTACATTAACTTATATGTTAACACGTTTACTTGCAGTCTTTAGTTAAACAGGAGTCTCAATTCATATTTCAGTAGTATTATCATTTATATTGCACTGATTCAGGATAGGAATTCAAATGCATTAAAGAAACACTGATTCTGAAATAGTTACATCTTCTAGTTACTCACTATATAACAGCATCACATTAAACAACATGGATCCCCTATGCTTGCAAGCACAATAGATTTAAAACTGATATGACCCTTCAATTTATATAGTCACCTCCAAAAAAATTTAAGAACAATGTCAGTTTACAATAAAAAAAGGAACGAAAGCCAGACTTTCACCAGGAACAGATTCTCATGTCCCTTTTTGCAAAGAGGCAGGTACCACCTAAATAGATTAGACACTCAGCATAAGCATCACAGAAAACAAATGTTGTGATTACAATGACATTCTTAAAGGTAAAGCTCAAAACACACACAACCTTTCTATAGCAAATTCCATCTGCTCACCCCCAAAATCTTATTTCACTCGAGTCAAAAAATTTAGTCAAGAAAATGTGGAACAAGCCAGAAATAGCAGAATAAAAAGTTACAAAATTACAATCATTAGGAAATTACTTACCGTATATAGGAATACCTGCACACAAGCTAGAATTTTGTATGCAAGCACAACATATATATTGTTTTCTACAAAGTAAAATTTTGATATGGAGCTAAACATACACATAACAAGTCTTCTTAAAAGAAGGCACTTGATAAGATGCATTATCTCCAGTTTCAACATGTCTGATAAGGAGTAAAAAAAGGCATAAATTAGTACTTTTTTTAAGTGTAACTATTCAGGAATAATAAAGGCTTAAAAAATTGGGAAATTAAACACTTAGATACTCCATCCCCAACAGGATGTTTCACACATCAATGTTGATATCTTAAAAAATATTCTACAGATTATAAAGAGATGTTAGAATAAAGGTTTTAGACTTCATTTTGTAAGTCCTCTCAGGTTTTGCTTCAACCTCTCCTGGATATCTCAGGGATTCTTGCTATTGAAACTGTTTTACTTAACACTAAGACAAAGCCTTTAACAAAGCTTTCCTTCAAGAAAAGTAGTACTCACTGAAATCAATTTGTGCTAAAAAAGAATCAGAGCATTACAACCAAGTTTGAGATCTTTAAGTCAATGGCTGTAGTATCTCAGTAGCAATAGCATTGAATTTCACTTAAGGAATATGCTAACAGAGTACTTCAAGGCTTAAACTTCAAGACTTTTTCCCCTCAAACTGAAGTAAGGACAAGTCAAACAAACCAACAACCTTCCAGTTTTCTTTAGAACATATACAAAAATGGAGATTAAAAAACCCATAATTTTTAGCTGTCATCTCCAAATCAAATACTAGTAACATTTAAATTTACCCTGAAGACATTTCAATAGTTGTAGGCCAGCTACAAAGGATTGTGAGCTATGTAACAGCATTTGTCATGCATAAAATGGAGATTTGAAAAAATAATTTACCAAAATCCAGAGCTAGTAATGTTTGAAATTCAGTACTATAAAGAGTTAATTACGCATGTATGTATTAGATACTAGTACTGGAAATTAAGTATCAAACTTCAGTGATAAGATCAGACTAAACAATAACTTCTGTATCCCAGAAGCACTAGCTTAAGGACATGAAAAATGAAGAAAACATGAAATAGAACTGCAAGTGCATCTGTACTGAGCATGTGTAGCACAGCCTTTACAAGCATCTATGGCAAAGTTAAAAACAGATATTTAAGAACTGAAGTAAAATTAGCAAAAAAAAAATCTCCAAAATCAAATGAAATCTGTAATTTGCAAGCACTTTTGTATGGCTGATTACAGTGCTGAAGAAGTGAACCTTGGTATATAGTTACCATTACTCTGAACGTTAAAATCCAGAAAAGAAGAATAGATATATTACACAATATTACTTAATAACACAAAAAAATGAAAAAAAATTGTTGATTTAGAGAAAATTATATTCTTATGACACAAACAGAAGTGTAAACTCTCTAAATCAGGATTCATTCTGCATTGCATTTGCAATCATTATCAGGATACATGTGACTCTAAGCAGACATGTATAAGTGGAATAATTCCTCAGTGCTTTTTCTTCTAACATGCTTAATCTGAGTTAAAACACTTCAGAACATTATTTTGAAATTATTTTAAAAGCTGAAGTGTAAGATTCAGGCTTACATTAATAAGAACCATAGCCATAACAAGGAAAACAGTTTACCATAGAAAACAGTTACACTTAGCTGCTGCAGTCACAGTCTCTCTGCACTGTAACAGAAACAGTTATGTACTTTAGTTTTTGTTTTCACACTTCAGTACTCAAAGGAGCTGAAGCTGTCATCTCAGCACTGCAAGGAAGATAGGGGATGCTACAGTAAAAATAAAACTACTGTGTCAAAGAAAAATAAAGCAAAAGCAGTAGACTTGCTTATTCCTGAATCAAACAAAAGTCACTTTCTTATAAAAAAAGTGCCACTCAGTATCTCAGTAGCAATAGCATTGAAGCAATCCAAGTTCCACCTCCAAAACACTTCTATCACATTTCATCATGGCTACGAAAAGTTAGTACAGTAAAAAAGGAATATACATTTCCTAATTTAGAGAAATTGCTCTAGGATTCATATGTCAATCATGGCAAGACAGATTTACAAGTTTTTCAAAGCTGTGAACTCCACAGGGCCCATACACAGACCCTACATACACCTAAGGAGCAACTGAAAGTTAGAAGTCAAGCAGATACCCACAGTAAGACTGAACACCTTGTATGATGTACATTGTTTCTTAACATTAGATATCATTCAAGTTTCATAAGACAAAATTCAGCACCATAGTTAATTCAGTCTAATTAGACTATCTTCAATGAATCAAGATTGTTTCTTATCTTTTGCTCGCATTTTGGAAATCCTTCATGTAATTTAGTATTGTACTCGGAAGGAGGGGAGGTCGGTGTTTGAAGGAATAAACTTAAAATTCAAATGCAATTCCACTGCAGCCGAGATACTTACCTGGACAAAGCAGGAACCGGTACTCCTCTTGCTCGAATAGATGCTTTTCCACGAACTACTGGAACTTCTGCATTTTCTGAACCACCATTTAAATATGTTAATTCTTGAAGCTGCGCCTGTCTGATTTCATCGTTGTAGTCCTAGAACGGGGGGGGTAGAGTGAGAAAAACACCAAATTGTTCAACTACCACACCAAGCTAGTATCAGCAAACAATACTCCTGAAAGTTTCCTCTTCAAAAGTTGAACATTCCACTGAAAAAGTTTAATTCAGTCAAAAATTCCTAGAAGAATTTTAGATATTAATTGCAATTTTTGCTCACACATTTTTCTTTCCCACTGCATACTACCTCATGTAGCTTTACCAATTAAAATGTCAATGTTAAAATGCTGTAGATACAAGGAAACAAAGAAATCAAGGTCCCATATTCTGAGCTGAGATCTGGTTTGTTGTTCCAGCTGTAGAACGATAGTGTGTTAAAAGCAGGAAAAATCCCATTGCCTGGCGTAAAGCCGTAAAAAATAAATACCTGTTGAGAACAGCCCCTCATGAAGGAATAGGTTATAAACATCTACACTTTTAAAACCAGGAATTAAAGAACGAACAAACAAGAAAATTCAATCAATATACACATGCACTATTATTTAATAAAAAGCTCCAAAAATTTCAATTCTCTAATACGCAACGGCAAAGTTGGATATATGGCTTATTTCTCATTCTGCACAAGTCCTCTGTGAAGGTCTATCAAAAAGAAAGCTGAAGTTATTCACATTGAATTAATACAGTACTTCAATACATAAGACTTTTAAGGGACCTTGAGCCAACCTCCAAAACAGGCACATCACATAGGAATAAGATAGAGCAGTGAACTCTTGAGTTTTACATATTTTTATCTTTTTTCCTCCACTTAAAGTGTGTCAAAGAATGCATATGTAAAGGTGAATAAAAAAGTATTTTACTCAACATGTATACATACAAAGTATCAAATTATTAATAGGTCCTCTAATAAGAATGAAGCGATATTTCTCATATAACAGCTCTTACCTTCTGCAAATCCTCCTATTTCAAAGAAGGAAGATTTGTTCAACTACTGACCATTTTACAATTCAATTACAAAACAAACGATCTGCATCTCTCACTGGAAATCGGAGTTTCACATTTATGCACTAGACAGGTACCAAAAGACCGTCAGATAGCCTTGCAGACAACTCTGAAACATAACTCTGCATTGAAAGTAGATTAAAACTTCCATGAATTCAAAGATGTCAATTTTCCTTGAAACATTCTGCTTCCCCTAGACTTGTACAAACAGAAATAAGAAAGTTTTCCATTACATGCCTTGCTGAAGATAGTTACTAGTGTTAAAAAAGTGGTACTATAGAAGCATTTTGTCCAAACTGTCTTGAATAGGCTCTGAAATTTAACTCAACTGCCCATCTGAGGTCATCTTTTATTCAGCAGCAGAAACCAACCAGTGAACAAGAAAAAAGTCTGAAAGACTGAATTAACTGTTTCAAACGGCATAATTGAAGCTTTTGAGAAACAGATTCCATTACAAAACAGCTTGAACCCAATATACAACCAAACCATCACAGGGAGTAGAATAGAAACAGGCAATTGAACACTGTTCTGGCCAACTACTGTACAGAAACTCACTTTATATTTGTAATTTGTTGCTGGACCAAAACTAGCTACAAATGCTAAGTTCTATGGAATGTACGGAACAAATAACTTCAGTCTTGAATCAAAATGCTAAGGAACTGTACCAAACATACATGCTATGTCAGAACTTTGAGACCTGTATCAGCGACGCCCTTAAACTCTTCACAAGACATCCTCCTCGGAATTGAGCTCCTGGAAAAATACCTTTGATCATTTTATATTAGTTTCATTTAATTTCTTAACAAAGATGTGCTTAAGTTGCCACCGTGCATGTTGGCTCTTTCTCCCTGATGTCTTCTCATTTTCCTGTAGCATACTACTAGACATACCAGCAGCCTTAGCCACAGACAAGGACTCCACTGTGCAAAGGCACAGAACAGAAAATATGGTCCTTATCACATATGCCAGAGGCAGGAGGATACAGACTGAAAGGGCAGTATAAAGAATGATAAGCAGCAGTGTTAATCCATTAAGACTCTAAAATGGGATTCTTCAATTAAGAGTAAAAGCTGGTCAATTTATCAATACCCACTGCTGGAAAACAGCACATGAAGTCAAATTGAGGAGACAATCTCTTCCTCACCTAGAACACAAGCTGGACATGGAAACCCTCTAGACTGAACTGCTCCCCTGTATGGTTTAGGCAGAGGTGAATTTCAGTCAAATGCTGCTGCTGAATTTCCAGTGAAGAGATGTACTCCCATTTTATGAACAGTGCCCATCCTGACTGACTAAAATCTTCTCTGAAGATGGAGGAAGTTTTCACCTGTAGGAATGACTAGATCAAGATACATGCAAGAGATTTTCTCCCTACATTGAATTACCTACATGACCCTACTAAGCAACATTCTTTTAGATTATCACAATTTTCACACAGCCCTGATCAACACACTGGCAGCAGCTCTCCTTGGGATCATCTGTAACTTAAGACCTTATTCCAATTTATCTTTTAAACTGTTAGTAAAAGTATTTTTTTATTTAACATTAGGACAGATTCCTGCAAAACCCTATGCAGTTTTGTGAAACACCCAAGACCTCTATCCCTGCAGTAAGCAGTAAATCATTACCAGGTTTCCAACCACCTTTATACATACATAGCTTACAGTTATTTGCTAGCTTGCTTAAAGAAAAGCATATGAGAGTTTCCAAAGCCCGTCAAAGTCTTGAGGAAATAGCATTTAATGCTATTTGGAAACCTTACAAACTAAACATGTAGGAGGTAAGGCAGACTACAGGAAAAACTTGTAAATTCTGCTCACATTGTAAATGAACTGTTATGGATCGCTGTCTCAAAGATATTTCTATACTTTAAAGACAAGGAAAACAAATAACTTGGATAACCAACAGCAAAGCATAATTAATGCTGTAGCTGTTAAAAGAAGAATGACTGCCACTACTCAAAAATTAAACAAAATAGACTAAGAAAAGTCCTATTGGCCAAAATGGCAGTAACCATGGTATAATATAGGACCTGCAGAGAGGTGAGGGTGGAAGTACCTGGCTTTTTGTCCTGACAGAAGTAATTCTGGGATAATTAACATAAAGCACAACAGTCACCAATATAACAGTTGAACAGACTGGTGACCATAGCATCTGGCCAGAACAAAGGAGATAAAGAACAAAAGAATATACTCAAAAGTCAGAAGCCACAATTCTACCTGCAGAAGACACATGAGAGTCAAGGCAACGTAAGTGCAGCCAAAAAAACTTGAGTAAAGGTTTTATGTCTTGTTTGAGTTATATCAATAGTTTAAATGAAAGTATACCACCGCAGCTGCTTGACGCAGAACTTCAATGCAAAGGTGCTTATTCATGGATCTAAAGATCTGAGAAGCGAAGCCAAGGCATTTTTGCTATAGTCAGCTACCACAAGGACATTTTGTATCCTACATTCTAGCACCAATTGCAATCACATAGTCAGGCCCAATCTGCAAACCGAACAATGACCATATTCACCATATTCATAAATTAGGTTCAGCATCTAAAGTTGTTGGAAGGCATAGTTAGCTTACATTGTCAGGAGAACACAAATTAAGATCACAATGATGTATACTGATAGCAGGACTTTTCTTGAACTAAAACTGATAATTTGCTAACAAAGCCGCAACAGACCTTATAGAAAATAAAAATCAAGTTGCATTTGGCTGCAGTTAACCAAATAGTAGTTCTAGAGGACAAAGCTGCTCCCTATTGCTTCCTGGAGTGGCTGCTGCAGGGGGGGGGGCAGCGGCAGGGCAGAAGAGATTAAGACATTTAGAACCATTCTGATAAGATTACATTTGAAAAGTCAAAGGGAAATTAAGACAGTGTTGGCTTGATCCCATAGTTCAGAAAAGGTTATGTAGCATCAGTTCAGCTCAGTACCACAAAGATGCAATGACCAAAAATTGACTGAAAACGGTACAACTGATCAATGGAATTGCTCATTACCAGTCTATAATTCCACTGGCTTAACAGCAGTAGAGTAGTGGCTAGGTTTAGTGGTTTACTTCATTTATTATGACATTAGGCGAATGAAGTTCAATGAAGAAAAATAAGATCTCTGATGAAGGGGGCAAAGAGGATCAGATATATCCTTACTTCCAGTGCATGCAAAAAGGCACTTACTAAATTGAGCATATTTCCATCTAAAGAGAAAGCAGCTATTCTAATGAGCAAACAACTAAGAACTTAATTCTCCCTTATCTCCTCACACAATCAAATCATGAATCATGTAAATACAGTAACCTTCAACATTATGACAGCCCAGCATTCCTACAAATATTCTATTGAGTATCCCCTACCTAATCAGTTAGGATGTTTGAACAGTAGCGTATTTATTTACCTCTTTTCATATACATCAAGACAAAAGCTATTTGGAACCTGCAGACACAGTTGTAACATGGTGCTTCCTTCCTTATAACATAAGATGATAATGCTCAGGGCATTTCTTTGGTTTTTAACTGTCTTAAGATGCATTTAGTGTGTTACCTCACATCAGGATGGATTCCTAAACAAACCTCCTGATGATCATTATATATCATGCTTTGGTTCATGTCATGGAATTGGGGCATAGGAATTTTCATTCAGACAAAAACATGCCAGAAGAAACACCCAAGGAGCACACAATCAACTTCAATCACTTGGGGACTTAGTTTCATGGGTCTAGACTAGGTTTAGTACAAACTAAAATCCCCCAAATGCATACAGTAGCACTGTCAGGTCATCAGCACCAACTGCTTCACCCTAGAGTACAGCAGGCAGTCCTACCCCCAACAGGCTGTAGTGGCCTTACAACAGGCATCTCCAACTGGTCCTGAATACAGCTACACTGCCTATACTCTCAAACAGCTAGGTGCTGCTGTCACTCAGATACACACCTTAGTAAAGTTGCCTTAGCTAGGTCGCCCATATTTCCAAGATCTGACACAAATCAAGACTAACACCTGGATAACATTCTCAGCAGTAAAAATAAACAGAAATCAATGCACCTTGAGGATGCTTTGCTTTCTATATTCATTCATTCAATAATCAATAAAAATAGAAGAATGTTCAAAGACACTTAAGAACTTCACACACAGTAACACCACTTCAAGGGCCCCAGCTTCTTAAGATACCTTGGATTGTTCCAAGCCGTTTAATATCACAAAGCAATCAAGGTTAGTCCTTACATGAGAAGCAAATAAAGGAATGTTTCATAGAAAGACACTGCAAACCCTGCAATACCATTGTCTATACGCATCCCAAACCTGGAATACAAACTTATACTGGAAATCACATCTCATTTTATACATCCATACATCACAAGTTGAAGTATACACCAGAAGACAAGTATAACCCATGTATCACTAGTTTTGTGAAAAAAAGATACAAGATAAAATTGTATTGATTCTCAGCACTGAACACTAAACCAGAATTATAGGTGGTAATAGTGCTACAAATAGATTTATTCTTAGTGAAACAGAACCTTATGCTGATGCTTCAGGTGTACCAAGAACACAGAAAAGCCTTACCTTAAGCAAAGAAAGTTATTGTTCCATATTTTATGGATTTTTACAATTGTTTGTAAATTTAAATACTTTGCACATGACCAGCTAAGCAAGAATAAGTTGCTCTTACCATAGGTCATATCATGAGATGACAGTGTATGCAGACAGTTATGCATTCACCCAATAACTGCCCATATCAAAATGAAAAGTATTTGTAAGCAACATCACTTTTCACAGGTGAAGGAAATTAAGCAACATGACCTGACCAATATTGTGCATTAAGTTAGTTTTAGAGACAAAATTTCTCACTCAAGACTACCAGGATTGTTAGGAAAAAATTAAAATACTAACAGGGATGAGGAACTTCTTGATTTCTTCCAATGCATGTCCCATTCTGGCATATGCTTCTGCTGGTGGAGCAAATACTTCAATTAAAACATGCAGGTCATCATTTAGGTGGAAATACTTTGCCTCTCCACTTTTTCTCAACTCTTCCTCCTAGGAGGTACGAAAAAAAGTTGGGTTTGTTCCACCTTATTTTAAACATATTGTAATGTAAGCATTAAAGTTGCTTCAGAGGCATTTGCACATACTGTTTACTCATGTTCAGATGTCAACAACTAAAAAAGTATAAAATTATATACTTTTCTGATACACTTAAAACCAATCATGTTGCTAAAAATATCAGAATAGTATCAGTTTGCTTAACAGTAAGTGACAAGTAATACACAAAATATGACTCTTTGGCTTCTGCTCACATAAACTGTAGCACAAGGGAGAACGTTCCCAGTTTTCCCAAGTGCACCACTTTCATTTAGAAGACACTGAGAAACGTAAGTGAACTTGAAGCCTCTTCTCTCAAAAGTGAATTCTTTAGAAAGAAGTTTGATTTAATATTCCACAAGAGCAAGATTCTTTTAGCAATATTATTTCAATCTTAGTATTTATTATTGCACTGCTCAGATACTTATTTTCTGTTCTCACTGAGATTTCTACCCCATAAGTACATCCTTCACAGAACTGTGCTACTTGGACATGAAACTAACAGCAAACAAGAGAAGAGGAGGACATTGGAGGAAAAGACTTCACTAGCTATTCAGAAGGGAGTTTATTTTATACTGCTTCACCCAACCCACTTCAATATGACTGAGAAACCATGATTGCAATGTAGTGGAGCAGAGCTCAGTTCTCAAATACTTGCATTCACACAAAATGTTCACAGACCTAAAGGACATCATTTGTTAGCCTCAGACAGGCTGCCCCTCTCCCTTGTGTATCTGACAGGTGCATTCCAAGTGACCAAACCACCATTAAAAATCATCTCATTGTATTGCCAGATAACATTATATCAAATTCTTAACAGTTCTGCTATCTAAAAAACAAAGCCTTAATAATTCTTCCCTGCTGCTTATTGTATTTAGCAAGCACCAGTTAAGTACTTTATTCTTTAGATTAGTAAAATTATAATTTCAATGATGGTTGAAATCTTCCCCCATGCACACTCCTTAATTATGGGCTGATGTTTACAAGTGACAATCCTTTCCTGCTTCTCATAAATAACATTCTTATACTTTGTGTTTGACTATGGGCATGTTTAAAATCAACAGAATCTAGTTAGCTGTTAGAGCAACCACAGCAAGAGGCCAGAGTCAGCAGGATTGGACTTTGTCAGCAAAACCATTATCTTGACAATACAAATAACAGATCTTAGAAATAGGCAGCAAACTAATATGAACTTCACAGCTCTTAAACATTTAGTTTTAATAGAAACTGTTGCTCACTTTAAGCACAGCTATTCAAGACACATGAACCATCATCTAGCACTGGAAAATAGATGTTTTCTTCAGTGGAGTTCCCCATATACTTTGGCTTTTAGTATATACACGTTATCAAGTATTCCCTGTCCCTTTTTTAAAAGGGAAAAAAATCACTGCAGTTAGATGTGCAGAGAATTAAGAAAAATTCATTTCTGTGGTTTGCCTGGTAATAGCAATAAGCAATAGAAAATTCACAATTTCTTGTGCAGTGTCTGGTGAAAAAGTACTTCAATCAGAGATAACAAAACATGCAAGAAATTTAAGTGCAGATTGTTCTAGAATTATTCCTATAAGCAAGCTTGTAAAGTAACTATCCTTTTTCTCTTGCTTCACTTGTAAAGTTCATTTTATTTTTTTTAAAAAAATTCTGTAACATGACTTAGCAACACACTACTCTCCAGCTCTTAACAGCACACAAATGAGAATGAGCTCACTCATTGGCCTACATCTCCCAATGCCGGGCACACATTAAGCATTTCAGGGTTTTTTTTTATTATTCCCCATGATAACCAACACAAAAGCCACAGCTGGTTCCCATTCCAGTATCCATCACTGATGGTATTTTTAGTTCCTACAAAATCCTCTGCCTTCCATTACTTGACAGTACATACACTGGCTAGGCATACCCAGTGCATTGGGATGCTGCTTGGCTGGCCAAAACAGAAAACTTTTTTTTCCTCTACTGCAATGGAGATTTTAAAGCTGCTGAAATGACAAAAGCAAACCAGATGTGTCACAAGGGAGCTAAAAGACAGCAAGGTCATCACTTCCTTTTTTTAAAAAATCTGTCCTTTAGATCTCTCTCCATCTTCTGGCACAAAATTTATCATGCCAAACAGCTCATGGTTTGGACAATCTGACTTATCTTCATGTTTTCAGTACATGCAGTACATTCATCCCTGCAGTACTGCACTCAGGGCCTTATGAGAAAGCTTACCCTATTTGCTTTGTACCTTGTGCTCTTGTATTTCATGCTTTCGTGGTCCAGAATAAAGCAGAATACTAGCACAGCTTATGATGTATAGTAGCACAAGGCATCTAGCAATATGCCTACTAAAGGCAGTGAATATACTTCGCCCTGTATTCTATTGTACCTATAGAGCCTTTTGCTTTTCATCCTACTTGTCAAGCTATCAAGAAACAGATAGTACCCCTAGCAGGCTACTGCTTTAAATCAGAAGCTGAGTAGCAGTATTTATCAAAATATGCCTGTGGTACTGTCCATTTTCATCTTTACTACATCACCTCTGATTTAGGTTTTAAATGTCTTTAGATACTACCTGGTATCTACTTTGAATGTTACCTTAAATTGGCTTCTGTCAGATTTTATGAACAATTCAGAATACTCACGTTGTTGAAAGGCCTGTACTAGTCTCAAACTATTGGTAACACGTGAATAACGAATTGCAGTGAAACGCTTTAAGTTATTTCTGCAGATCTATAATATAAAAGCAATCTTGTCATGGAACAAAGAAATTCTGAAACGGGTCCTTTTACTTTTCGCTCTCCTAGAGACTCATAAAAGTCTGAGACCTTCTTCCTAGACTTCTCAGCACTGACTAGTGCAAAGACAGTGATGAAGTGACAGCACAGAGAAGAGAATTACTGAATTTAGATACTGTATATCACAAGTAGATATATGAAATGGTTGCCAGATGTTGACAGAAGAGATAGAAATAGAAGCCTAGATTGATTCTAAAACTCAATTTAAGGAATAAGGAACAAAAGTACAGAAAAAACTTTCCTGAACGTGCTCTTAAATCTCTTATTAGGAAGCAGATAGGACATTCTAAAAATGCAATTAAAAGTTAGAGCCCATGGTGATCTTTGCTACGTTTTCTCAGCCTTTCACATCAATTACCTCTCTTCCACGAGCCTTTGAAGTTCTCAAAGTTCAAAAAAACCCCAAAACATAAGTATTTAGAAATTTAGCTTAGAGCAGTCTATGAAGCTTACTGCCACTTTTCCTCAGGAAAGATGTAATAATCATTATTTAAAACTGATAATGTAGCAGGTATATTAGCGTGTCAGTGTTTAGAAATACGTGACAATATGATCCAGAGCCTCCAACAACTGGTTCATCCCAGAACCTGTGATCATCATCACTACGTAGCCACACTGCATATGCTGTCTCACTTCAAGCCTTTATTATAGGAGAATGTATTTGTATAAACATAACTTATGTAAGTTACATTTAATAAAAATATTTTCAAGAAGGAATTAAAAGGAAGAGTTAGCTCTTAAGTTGCACAGAAGAAAGTAATTTATGGGCTCTGATCATGTTCTTGATAAATATTCTGTAAATCACATAGCATTTACAGTTTGCCAATTGAAAAATGCGCTAAAAATTATATAGTTTAGGAAATTCAGCCGCCAGCCCTCTAAGTCACTCTTCCATATGCATGTCACTATCAGTCTTTATAGCACACAGCATTTTTAAGTTTCAGATTACATAACTACAGAAAGATTTCACTGCAGGCCTACAAAATATGGTATGCTACAGGCAAGAAATATGTTCAGTGTTTTAATTTGTATCATTAGGAATGCTCCAATTAAAAAATGCAGCTTACCAGACAGGTGACATCTCCTCACTGATGTACACTTATCTGCTACAAATTTAGCCAGATATTATTGGAAATTATTTGTACAAACACTATCAAGCTAAAAGTTTCTCTTCTGTTGTCTACTTTGGCTCTTGTAATGGATACATCCACTATAACCAAATATTTCTCATAGAAACAACTGCAATTTCTCAATAGCTTAAGCTGCATCAGTCATCCTCAGAGCTCTGAAATATCTTCTGGTTGTAGTTTATCTTATCAGCTGTTTTTCCTCTGTCTTGAAATGTTATTAAATGTTACTAAATTTGAATGGTAAGTGCTATTTTATGTGAAAATGTTTCGATCTATCTAGAAGTCAAGTTCCTTCAAAAGTGAGAACACTCCCATGTTCACCTGAGAATTACTCATAAGCTGTACAAGACCAATCTAGAACATGCCACTCGTAGTGCCCCAGTTATATCCAAGGACTGTAGTTTGGGAGGGGCCTACGTACAACTCATGGTAGCCTCAAAATACTCAGTGAGAACAGATCCCTTACAGAAAACAGACTCCATGTGAATCTACCCACTCGGAGGATAGCCTACACTTCTTCGCTTCAATTTGTGTCACAGGGTTTGTTCACCTCCCCAAAATTTTAGATAAGTTATGAAGTTCCGGTATCAAATATACCACTAACACTCAGGTCTTACCTTTGTCTTATCCCTCATAGAACCTTTCCCCAAAATAGACATTTTTGTGAGTGTTTCTTCCTGTAAACGCTTTAGAGAATTGCCACGTGGACCCAAAAGCTTTCCCACAAAGTTGAACTGTAAGAAAACAAAAAACATTAAGCTTATTGGACTTTTAAGCATTAATTAATTTTTGCTGAAATAACTTTTTGTTCTAGAAACAAACAAGTATTAGATCATAAATTACACAGTCATTAAGTACAACTGTGTAGGAGAGTTAGCAGCATGTCAGTGGCTCCACCAGGTGTCAAGAGAAACACAAAAGTATCTGAAACCAAAGAAATCAAAGAGAATGAGTTTATCCCATTCAATACTGAGAACAAGTGTGCTCAAACCACCATTCAGTTTTTCAGCAATTGTTACCAGGTACATAACCATAAAAACAAAGCTGGCAGCAATCTCAGATACAATACCAACCAAAGCTCTGAAGAAAACTAATATCTTAATTGCCTTATCCTCCCTTGAAGATGAATGAAGTAACTCATACAATATACCCTACACTAAAACACAGGAACAAGCAAGGAATTAAATCCAGAGAATATACACATATAAACCCAGTCCCAAACCAGAATCAAGACTTAAGATCTCCAACTGCCACTCAACCCTCCATTATCACTGAAGTTTATCAAAGCCAGTTGGGGTTCGTAGCCATGGCATTACACTATTAAGATAATTAGGGAGAAGAAAGTGGTGAGTCACAAAAATACATGAAGACAAGGAAAACCCAAGCAATTCCATTCCCAGAAAACACCAAAACATACAGCTGGTACTCTTTCAGCCCAGAAGGTTCTTCAGAGGTAGGCTAAAAAAAACGGGTATCAAAAATCCATTCATAACAAAGGAAAACAGGAAGCGTGAAAGTTCTCATCAGTACTGCTCCATAGGGTATATATATTCCCAGTCACACATACCAGGAGAAAAGCTGTGTATATTCATCAGTCCACTTTCATCTATCACTGCGCTGTATTTTGGAAGGCGTATAAAATTTGAAGGATAGTTAGAGAGAAGATTTGAGGACTCACTTAAAAGTATGCAGACAGCTATTTTTGTTGGGGGAAAAAAAAAATCACAAAAAGAATTGATAAACATTGGCTACACTTGGAAGTTGGTATGGAAGGCTGTAAACACTTCCTGAAAATAGTTATTCTTGTATTGGATTTACATGATAGCTTTTTGTTAACAGGAGGCTGCAGGGGTGACTTCTGTGAGAAAACAACAGAAGCTGCCCCTATGCCGGATAGACCCAGCTCTGAGACAGACCCACCACTACCTAAAGCATAGCTCATTAGTGACATAGCACCTACATAACATATTTAAGAAAGGGTAAAAACACCAAAGTTGAGACAAGTAAGAAAATGAGAGAAACAGCCCTGCAGACCCCCAGATCAGTGAAAGAAGGGGAAGAGGTGCTGCAGGCCCGGAGCAGAGATTCCCCCCCAGCCCCTGGTGCAGCCCACGGTGAGGCCGGCTGTCCCCCGGCAGCCCACGGAGGCCCACACTGGAGCAGATCCCCACCTGCAGCCCGGGGAGGACCCCACGCCGGAGCAGGGGGATGCCCGAAGGAGGCTGTGACCCCATGGGAAGCCCACGCTGGAGCAGGGTCCTGGCAGGGCCTGTGGCCCTGTGGGGAGAGGAGCCCAGGCTGGAGCAGGTTTGGTGGGGGGGTTGTGACCCTGCGGGGCACCCAGGCTGGAGCCGTCTGTGCCTGAAGGGCTGCACCCCGGGGAAGGGACCCACGCTGGAGCAGTTCACGAAGAACTGCAGCCTGTGGGAAGGACTCACGTTGGACCGGTTTGTAACTGTACGCTGCAGGAAGAACTCCACACTGGAGCAGGGGAAGAGCATCAGGAGGAAGAAGCAGACGAAGTGTTATGAGCTGAGCACAACCCCCATTCCCTAGCCCCCTGTGCCACTTGGGGGAAGGAGATAGAAAAGTCAGGAGTGAAGTGGAGTCTGGAAAGAAGGGGGTATAGGAAAGGTGGATTTAGTCTTATTTCTCACCTCCCTTCTGTTAAAATTGAGAATAAAGTAATCTTTCCCAAGTCAAGTCTGTTTTTCCTGTGACTAAGTGATGAGTGATCCTGTCATCTCAACCCACAAGTTTTTCATCCTACTTTCTCCTCTAATCTTGCTGAGGAGAGGGGAGTGATAGAGCAGCTTGATGGGCACCTGGTAGCCAGCAAAGGTCAATCCACCACAATTCCTGTCAAAATACTGTCATAGAGATTATTTATCAACAAACTACTGTTTATAATTATTTACTATTCCCAATGACATTTTGTAAACCAGGATATTCACACTGTTGTAACATAGTGACACAATCATGTTAACAAAAAGTTTTAAGCACAAGTAAAATATAGTGACACTAAAGAGCAAATATGCTTAAACTACTTGTCCATGGCCTCAAATTTATGAAACAGCTTGTAAGTTTGACTGTTCCTCTACTATTGTCACTGAAGTGCCAAGATGGGCTTCTTTGATCTCTCTATTCCTCTGGAGGAATTTGAAAACACCTAACAACGGGGTAGTAGCAGGTCAAAATCCTTCATTGCTACATTGGAAGTGCTGATGGAAAAGAGGCCCAGCTGCCATCACCCTACAATGCAGAAAGTCTACCTCCAGTTTACCTACTTCAGCTTTAGACAAAAAAGAACTGTAAGCATTAAAAGCCTACTAAATATGAAAACGTAATTTTATTCCCCTCAGTACCTGCAAGTTCAATTCCCAATGTAGACATGAGTTAGAACCAAGATACAATGGAACAAATCGCTTATGGATGACTACAGTCCATAGATGCTATTAAATTTAAGGCCTTGCATGAACTACTCTGTTCTGAAGTTATCAGGCCAAATCTCAAGAAATCATCAGGCAATTTTTTTAAAAATTTGTTTTATTAAGTATACTCCATTTTTTTCCTTAAGTCCTAAGATACAGTCAAGGAAAGCACTAACCAGGAATAGGCTGCCCAGCAAAAGAGTAGAAATCTCCCTTGCTGAGAATATTCAGAACTCAGGGCCAGTGATGGGGCCCTGTGTAATCTAATTCACAGTCATGATTTCAACAGAAAGTTGGACCAGATTACTCTAGAGGTCCCTTCCAACTTGGACTTCTGATTTTGTTATATCTGGAGGTATAACTGCAAGGAAAGCAAACAATAACTCCTTTTCAACAGTTCCCTTAAATAAAGGATCACTACTTATGAACAGGGAGTTCATAGTTCAGCTCAAATGAAAGCTTTCATATAGTGGAATACCAGATCAATTTTTCAAGCATTACTTGTTTACTTTAAAATAGCCTTGTAAGTTATTAGGAACAAAAATACACACATTTAAAATGAAAGATTTTCCATTTACAGTAAAGTATATTGAACTTATTTCAGAATGTCAGGTACCTGCTAGAAATTTACACTGCTATCAGGCTGCAGTAGTCTTCGTTGATTCTAATATTCAGATAAAATTTTACTCAATTTTTGACTACAATTTAGGAGTAGGCAAGCATGTATTTAACCATGCAATGCATAGCTCTGAATATCATTTCCTAACTGGAACAAACAACTACCTGACAATTAAAATACAAACTACAAATAACAAATGGAAGTGCATACCTGCAACAAAAGCAAAATCTACTTTGTATGTAATCAAAGCAACTAAAAGGCTTCAGTGCTCAGAGACGACTTGGGTGTTCCAAAGCACATTTGTTTACCCCAGTTGTATTGTTCATTTTAAAGTCAAATAGTTTAATATGTTGTGTATATCTAGAACTCGACCTACAAAGCTTCAATACCAAAAGTTGTCATCTCTCAAAATCAAAAAATCTAATGCTGAAGCTAGACATTATGGTAGCCATACAAGTAGCTGCACAGATGACATTCTAGAAAACACATTTAATGAACATGAAAATACATTAGCTGTACCCTGAGATCCACTGAACTGTTCTTTCCTGTGCACCGAGGCTCCAAATATTAGATTTGACAAGCCTTAAACATGAGAAAGCTGTGCTGCAAGTCTGAAATTCTGCTGATTTGAAAGCACAGTACCTCTAGATGTAGCTTAAAAACAAAACGAACATTGAAAGTTACTAAAAAATGGCTTACAAGGCAGTTCGAAAGCCTTTGCTCCCATGTAACAAAGCTGAAAAGCTTCGGAACATTTCAGTTGATTATTCCATAAAAACCATTTATGATATTTAGTTAATCCTTCCAGTAGGAAACAGATGATTTCCTTTGAACAGGTACTGGATTTTGTTTGAATTATTGCCTTATCTTCCTTTTACATCAAATGGGAAACCTCTGATCAGAAAAGGTTTATTTTGAAATACTTCATATAGATATAGAAACACTCAAAAAGATACCAGCCACTAAGTTACTATCATTATTTATACGCTTCTTTATGCCCAGCAATCAAGGAGTAGGACTCAAACCTAAAGGTACAAAACCACCACAGAGCAAGACAAGTTTTCATTACAAAATTAACAAATCCAGTCTATCTGCTGGTAAAACAGAAACAAATAAGCCTGGCAGATCCAAGTTAGCTCTTACACAAGATGGGTCATGTACAAGTTTCATGGGCGCTTCCCATGCTTCACATTTAGAATTTATTTGCCCAAAAGCACAAGAACAAAACAAATTCAGGTCTAGTATTGAACTCAAGCTTAAACTATCACCAAATTAGAGGCACTGGAGAGTAACAAAAGGATATCTGAGCAGTCTGTACAAGTCACATCACTCACACCCACCAGCTCTGGCTCAGAATCAGACATGCCAGACTCCCCTCTTCACTCACCCTTCTCCCTAGCACAGCACAACGATATCCAAACTGCTATAAACACCCAAAATTGTCCTCAAGTTCACTAGCTTCAGCTTAACTTCGTATTAAAGCAGTTGTACTGCTTTCCAGCACAAGCTGGTCTAGAAGCTATTGCAATATTCACAGTTCTACAGGATAGCTGAACTCTGAAGAGCCAGCCATGAATGTTATTCCACACCAGATGAACCACCTGTATTAAATCAAGGACCGTCTCTACATTAAGACAGCTTCTGATGCCTTAAGTAAGAACTAGGATACTACAGATGATGGTAT